CAGTATACAGAGAAGACAAAACAGGTTCCGTAACGGCTACTTCTAGTCCACATGAGTCACGGACTTTTTTGTGGAGACCTATAACCTACTTTCTATTTCTGGTATTTATTGCCCTCCACACAATATAAACAAAAGGAGCCAATTTAGTTAAATAATACTCTTTGCATGTCTTACTATTTAGATTAAAGAACATCTTTCCCTTGATGGGGAAATGCCTTGGGGCGAGAATATTCTACTTGGTGTATACTCTAAAAGTGTTCATTAAATGTCATGTTTCAGTATTCATGGTTCCCTCGGGATGCTCTTGAAACAATCCGGCTAGGAGAGAGAGCATGAGGAGAAGAACAGTCTGAGGGGACCCTATCTTCCTCTTTCTGCTTTTAAAATGCTCAGGGCTGACCTGTGGGCTCCACACCTTCTCCTGACCACCAGGCCTGTGGTCCCACAGCCATCTGCTCCCAGAAGGCAGTGGGGGACAGAAAGAGCAATCAACAACCTGGATTTCCAGGGCCATCAGGGGAGGGCCTTCGACTGCCTACGCTGTGGACCTTGCCAGCACTTCCTGTCTCACTCAGCTCGGGGTCACTGGACTCGGTCACTTGTCAGCACAGACACAAACTACCTTCTGCCTTTTCCTGCATGCCTGGAATTGACCTATTTTCACTTTTGATGTCTGTCCTACCTTTCCAAGACTATATATTCATTCACCTTGTATTTAAACTCTTGTTGGTCTAACCCATCACATCTGAAGATTGCTTTGCTTAACTTGTCAGTGTTCTGACAAAGAGTTAGCCTCAACCTTTATCTCCAATTTAAGCCCTTTACTTAAAGCAAGTGACTGTGATCCGTAAAATCAAGGAGGAGCCATGGCTGTGTACATCCCCTATGGGTCTCCAAAAGTCCTGTCCTGAAAGACCCCGCTCAAGGCTCTCTTCTCAAGAAGCTTTCTCTAAACGATCTTGTCTCCGATAACGTCCGCTTCTGAGCTACTACGTTTTACTGTCTTCACTAGCATTTCCCATAGGGGCTCCACAAAACATTCGTCACACAGATCTTTCAAGGATAAAAGCATCCAAGACACATGCATTTGGGGAAAGCTCCTTCTTAGAGATTTGCAATGCACATTCGTATATGAAAGATTTTTATAAATCTCATAGTAAAAAAAGCTCTTAAACAATATTTCATGTAGTGTTTCTCAAACTCAGTTAGCCCTGGAATCCTCATTCCATGTTGCACCACTTAGCCATTTGGAACGTTAGATGTACAGAAAATGAGTCTACACAAAGCAGTGGCATGTTCTACGAGTGTCCCGTGCTCCAGTGTGTCCCTGTGTCTATGTTTCTTCTCTCCAAGTAGTTGAATGGTAACAATCTAGCAGCTTTACATAATTGTTGGGTTTCTCAACCCTCTTAGTTTTTATTCTCACATACTGCTGTGTCTGTTAAGGAATGCACATCAACTTCTTACCACAATTCCTCCAAACCAAATTCACTGTCATCTAGCCAATTCCAATTCACAGACACCCTATAGAGAAGGGTAGAACTTTCCTTGTGCGTTTCCAAGACTATAACTCTTTACAAGAATAGACAGCATCATCTTTCTCCGGAGATGCCCCTGGTGGTTTTGAACTGTTGACCTTGTGGTTAGCAATTCAACACATAACCACTATGCCACCAGGGCTCCAACCACAATGCCTAGAACAGCATAAATACAGAAGATGCTGGCTACTTTTATACTGAGGCAGTAGGAGAAAGTGGTTAAGAATTTGGTCTGCAGAAAATACTCCTAAAGGTCAACAAACAGACCTTGAACTATCTACAGGCTTTTCTTTTTTTTTATCATTTTGTTGTTGTTGTTTTGCTTTCTGTTGTTGCTTTGTTTTGCTCTGTCTTGTTTTTGTGCATTTTATTATCTCCACAGGTCTGTCTAGATAAGATAGGCTGGATAAACAATCTGGAGGAGAAAGGGGAGGGGGGAGGTAGAGAAAAGGAAGTGGTGTTAACAAACTCAGGGACAAGGGAACAAGTGAACCAAAGTCAGTGGCGAGGAGTGTGTAAGAAGCCTCATAAGGTTTGATCAAGGGCAATGTAACCGAGAGGAATTACTGAAACTCAAATGAAGGCTGAGCATGATAGTGGGACAAGAGGAAAATAAAAGGAAATAGAGGAAAGACCTAGGAGGCAAAGAGCATTTATAGAGGTCTAAATACAGGCATGTACATATGCAAATATATTTATATATATATTTGGATGGTGGGGAAATAAATCTACATGCATATATTTATAGGTTTAGGATTAAGGTACCAGATGGGCATTGGGCCTCTACTCAAGTACTCCCTCAATGCAAGAATACTTTGTTCTATTAAACTGGCATTCCATGATGCTCACCTTTCCAACAT